CACGGGCAGCGTCTGGCGACAGGCGCGTGTTTGGCGCTGCAGTCGTGTTTTATTATTTTCGAAACTCTAATTCGTTTTTTATCATATCCGGCTGATTTTCTTTATAAATATCCTCCTAAAACAACCGTTTTCAATCATTAATTCTTATGAATTGTCTCTGATTCTTTCCTTGAAGTTACTAACGCGTGTATTTTGTTATTAGAAAGAGGTACGAGGCATCCAAGTAAGAGCTTTAATTGTTTGCATTGTTGTTATGATATAGAAATCATGTCTAGGTTGTTATTATGATTCCTAATGTCATGTTAGGGGGTTTTGATCTTCCTAGTATCACACTACAAGGAAAAAGCCTTTGGGCAACAAAAGAATTCGTCGCCCAAGCCTCAATTGTCGTCGCCCAAAGCCTTGTGCAACGACTAAGGATTCGTCGTGGGCTCGTCGCCCAATGGTCGACGCCCTTACAATTTTGGACGACGACTATATACGGCGTTGCCCATATATAGGTTAGGGCGACAGTTACATGCGTTGCACATAATACTGTTTCGACTACGACTTTTGCTTTTTGTTGACTATAATTAGTTCCTTTATGTGCAACGACTGTGTGCTTCATCGCCCATTAGGATGTTTTGACGACGATTTATATTGTTCCCTTTGGGCTACGAAAGAGTGTTAATCGTCACCAAAAAAAGCTGATTTGCAGTTTGGTACAATAATATGGGCAACAATTTTATTGTCGCCCAAAACGATTTAGGGCAACGAACTATCGTTTATGTTTCCCAAACATACAATGTAGCGCCAAATATAATAGATATGGGCAACAATATTGTTGTCACCCGGTGCGATTTTGGGCAACCAAATTACATCCATGTTGCCCATATTATTAATGTAACGCTAATTTCAAATTATAATTGTAATATGCAGTACTATTTGGTTACCATAAGATGATTTAGGGCAAAAAATGATATTTATTTTATTGTCCTATCGTTCTTGCACCTGAATTTCTCCAACCTGTTTTACGTGACAAAAAATTCACTTCACAATAATAATACTTGTACCCTGGTCCTGTATATTACATTTCAAAGATAACTAATATGACAAATTTAAGAATTTTCATATAGCAGTCATATTATAAATTAATTGTTTCTCAAAACAAAAGGAAAAAGCCTTTGGGATAATTCATGGAAAAATTATAAACGTATTTAAACTCTATCTAAAATTCATGAATACCACTATTATATCATATCCAAAATGCACAGGACGTTCTCGATTTGTTAAGGAAAAACATCATGCTACCTTGTTCCTGTAAGGTAATAAGACAAAAATAGGCATCAATACTTACAAAAAAATGTTACTAAAATATCTAATTACATGTGAACAGAATACTAGAGATAAAATCATTGCATAGTGTTAGTAGGACTTGATTCAAGCCCAAAAAGAAAGAAGAAGAATATTACCTCATTTCCTCACACATTTTTAGCATATCTTCTCTTAGTTTCTTTTCATGTTCAATGGCTTCCTTATTCATTCGAGAAAATTCTATTTTGAGCTCCTCATTTGATGCTTTTAGTTGTTCATTCGATGCTCTAAGCTCTTCACTTGATGCACTAAGTGTCTCATGATTCTTACTAGTATTGGCACCCAATTTCATATAACCATCAGGCTAATCTGCATCAAATCTTAAAGGCCTGGCTAGCCAATCCCACAAATATGCAACATCAATTATAGAAGCATTTTTTTTTATGCACAACACTTTGATGCATAACAAAGTCTGATGCTCTAACTGTGTTATATGCAATCCAAAAGAAATCGTGGGGAGTCCCTCCTTAAAAAAAAATATTCATTGCTGTCTGTTAAAAAATAATTGAATAAACATACTTTTTGGTCTTCTCATATAATCTCACGTAGATGGGATATTGTTGTTGTACTTCAGCAATTTCAGATTGCTCTTCATCTTGATGGAGACATTTGGTGGCTCATTAAGCTGCATATGAAAAAATAAATGAATATCCAAATGAATAATGTTTCATTAATATAGTTTTGTAATTGAAAAGCCAAAAAACACACCAGATCAAAGAATATTCGTGATGTAGACTTTGCTCCATTGGTCGGTGTTTCAGTCAACTTTAGTTTATTTGCTGTGTTTACTTTGCTAATGGCTTATATGTTGAACAAGTTAGTCAATGTAACATAATTGCAATGATATTGAATAAATTAGAAATTAATTGTATCAAGAGGTGTAGCACGTTACCACCCAAAAAAAAGGGAAGCACATTACCTCTTGTTTTGGGGAACTCCAATACTCATAAACCAACCAATCCCATTGTGCCGGATCAATAGTTGGAGGTCTATTGTCTCTAGCCTCTTTCTTAGTTTTACCTCTATAGTATTTTTCCTTTAGTCTAAACCTCCAATGCCTATATAGGATAGAGCATTGAAAGCTCAATGCATCAATCACGTCCGCACCGCCAACCTTTTTAGGTAAATTGTATTTTCCCTAGTAAATCATCATTTAAAATACAGCACACAAAACATATAGTTAGTAAAGTGATCTAATAATTTAAAACTTCAGCAAATTTGTTTTATAAAACTCAAACTCACCAAAATCTTGTCATACAAACTTTGCTTTGCAGAAGAATCCATTTTAGCCCAATTTCTACCAACAAAATAAATAAAAATCATAAATCACATAGATGTGCTCATTAAGACATGCATGTTAGATAAGTGAAATTAATTTTACCAAGCTTAGACTTACAATGCATCTAAAGGACAAAACTCTTCGACCCAATTGCTACAATCGCATATGAACTCATTTGCCTTTTCACCAACCACACGTCGAAGCTCATCCATGAAAGTTATTGTAATTTTTTCATCTGGATTTTTTGCCCTTTTAGAAGCATATTTTAAGTAGGACCACGCCTCTTACGATCTAGAAATTTTTTTCGAAGCTCAGCTTGGTCAATCCTTCGCTGCTCACGATAAGTCAACCTTGGTGGTGGTTGTTGAATCTCACTTTCTTGTTGATTTTGCTATGATGATGTTGGTATGATTGACATTTTCCTACAATAAAATTCATGTCAAATTTATTCCACGTAAATAAATTAATTCTAGAAGAAATCATTTGAATAAGAAAAGATAGGTAATTGAAAATTAGTATCCTTACTAGTTTTGATAATATATTTAAAACGATATAAATATGTATACATGTATTTAACTAAACAAAAGACAAATATATCAACACTAACACTCTAATCATGCATATTATTAATCAATTTATAGTGAATAATGAAAAACAATAAATAAATAATAAAAAAAAAAGCAATAAGGAGTTGTTTAGATGGTTTCAACTTATATAGTTTCCTCCCTCTTGTGGTTTTGCTTCAAAAAAACAAGAAAAAAAAAACTGTTTAGATAGTTTTAACTATATAAATGAAATTATTGAATCTTCAAATTTATGAACTGTGATGCCTTCTAGCTTCCAATCAACTCTTTAGTCATTGTAAAAAGCCATGATGATACTAATTAATCATTAAAATAATAATTGTATAGAAGCAAAATTCTACTTACTACTATCTATATCTTATAAATTAATACCAGTTTAAATGCACCAACTAAGTTATTCAGTAGAACTATCACTTTCATATTCATCGTCTTCAAGATCGTCATCAAGTGCATGCAAAGTACATTCCATTTCAGAGAGCTCCTCCTCCTCCTCCTCCTCCTCATTAATAAAATCATCTCCTTGGTTGATGTCAGCGTGTACTACTTCAACTTCAACAGCATTTCTAACTAAATTAATGTCTTCATCATCTCTATCTTCATAGTTAGTTACAGGTGGTGTCACATGATCCCACAATGATTCATTTTCATGAGTATCTTCATCATTAGGGAAATCAAAGAAGTTTCGTTGATTTGCCTTAATTACATATCTCCAATTTGGTTCATTATGAGTGGGTACATAGAAGACTTGCTTAATTTGAGAAGCTAAAGAAAATGACTCATTAGTTTTTAACTTTTGAGTAACATTGATAAGCACTGCTTCTAAATTGTCTTTTTTAATCCCTCTCTCCTCACTAAACACATCAAACCACTTGCATTTAAATTAAACAACTTTGGGACTTGTTCGATTTTTTAAGGCACCATACTCTAGCACAATAACCTCCTCTAAAATCCCATAAAAAAGAATTTCTCCACTTTCATCATCGCCTTTCACAACTACACCACTATTTTGAGTTTTACGATTTCTTTGCCTTTTTTGGAGTGAAATCTAAACCCATTAATTACATATCCATCAAAAGTCATAACACGTTTCATAGGTCCTCGTGCTAAACACAATAACTCTTCTGTAATCCGTTCATCCCCATCTTTCCAAAGCTTAACAATCTGTTATTCACATGTAATAAGAAAACAATAAAGAAAAGGGGAAAAATGTAATAGGAAAAAAGAAGTATGTGCTTACTTACCCTATGTTTAAACCATTTTCAAAAGTCAATCTTTGGAAGACTCCTATCATTTTCATACTCACTAACCATAGAAATTAAAGTATTAATTAGTCTACTATATATATTTTTAAAATATTTTTTTACATCACTTGAATTAACTTACTCTATAAAAGGTTGTGCTTCATCATAATTTTTTAGAACATATAATTGAGCTTCGTTCCATTCATCAAAATTCAGCTGCTTTAGATTTGTCTTCCCTAAAGACTTGCCCATTATAGAGAAAACCGACATGCTATGGGGTTGTTGATGGTCAATGTCGTCATTTCGATCTAGATGGTTAAATTGTGTCTCAATCTTAGACATACATCTAGAGAAAAATGTTAGACATTCCATTTCAATGTACCCATTAGCAATTGAAGCTTCGGGGTGAGATTTGTTTCGAACATATGATTTAAATGTCCTCATTGCCCTTTAAAAAAAAGTATAGTTATAATTTATGTATTTATATATGTAAGTAATTAAAAACTATCATTACTAGATTACTTACCTTTTAAAGCGATACATCTAGCGACAATGCACAGGGCCAGCCATCCTAGCTTCAGTGGCTAAGTGCATTGGATGATGTATCATCACACCAAAAAATGCAGGAACGAATATACGTTCTAACTTGAACAAGGTGACTGCAATGTTTGATTCCATTTGCTTTAAGTCGGAAACCTTCAAAGTTTTTGAGCATAATTGTTTAAAAAATAAACTAAGCTCCCTGAAAGGTTCCAAAACCTTCTCATCTATGACACCTTTAAAGGCAGGCGTGAGCAAATCTTGCATGAAAACATGATAATCATGAGTTTTCATTCCCATGATCTTTCCATCTTGTAAAGAAGTACACCGCGATATATTTGAAGCATAAGCATCTGGAAAAGCCAGCTTTGACAGAAAGGTAACTATTTTCCTCCGTTCATTCAAAGTTAGGTTGTAAGATGCCGGAGGGATTTTCCACTTTTTATCTCCTAAATATGTTGCACGTAGCTGACTATGCATCTTCATACTATCTAAGTCCAATCGAGCATTTAAGGAGTCTTTGTTCTTTCCTGATAAATCAAGTAGTGTGCCTAATATGCTTTCACATACATTTTTTTCAGTATGCATAACATCTAAGTTATGTCGCACTAAAAGATGCCTCCAATATGGAAATTGAACGAAACAACTTTCCTTCTTCCACTGATGCACGATGTATTGTTCGCCTTTTTTCCTTTTTTTAGTAACACCTTTTCCAAACTCCACATTTGAATAGCCACTTAATTTCTCTAAAACATCATGTCCTGTAAGTGGAGTAGGAGGAGGACCCCGTTCGACTTTCCCACCAAATGCACTCCTATTACGTCTCCATTTGTGATCTGTCTCTAAAAACACTCGATTATCCATATAACAGTATTTGCGCCCATGTTTTAACCAAAATGATCGTGTATCTTTATGACAATAAGGACATGCAAGTTTCCCTTTAGTGCTCCAACCAGAAAGATTAGCATAAGCTGGAAAGTCACTAATAGTCCACACCAACACTGCTCGCATATTAAAAGTGTGCTTGGTATGAGCATCAAAAGGTTTTACTCCTATCTCCCACAATTCTTTAAGTTCATCAATTAAAGGTTGCAAAAAAACATTTATATCATTCCCTGAAGATTTAGGACCAGGAATTAGCAAAGATAAGATAATTTTGTCACTTTTCATGCACATCCAAGGAGGTAAATTATATGGCACTAACATTACTGGCCAAATGCTATATCTGCTGCTCATGTTAGCCCCAGGATTAAATCCATCACTTGCTAAACCCAAGCGTATATTACGAGCATCAGCAGCAAATTCTGGATATAGGGTATCCAAAGACTTCCATGCTTCTAAATCAGCTTGGTGCCTCATTACCTCATCATTTGGGCGTTCATCCTTATGCCATCGCATATGCTTTGCTAATTTTGAGGACACAAACATTCTTTGCAACCTTGGAATAAGAGGAAAATGATGTAAAACTAATTGAGGAATTCGAGTTTTTTTTCCGGCAACACTTTCGTCGCCTTCATCCCCTGAAGATACATCACCACCTTGCACAACTTTGTCCTTCCATCTAGGAGCCAAGCATTTAGGGCATTTTTCTTCATTTGCAAACTCCTTCCGAAACAAAATGCAATGGTTTACACAAGCATCAATCTTTATATAATCTAATCCTAGTGCTTTTGTATATTTTTTTGATTCATAAGAATTTGCTGGAAACTTTTTATCATGATTAAATGCCCTATGCAATGCACTCAATAACATTGAAAAAGACTTATCACTCCACTTGTTACTAACTTTGATGTGTGGTAATGTGACAAGAAACTCCAATCTTTTAAATGTCTTGCACCCTGGATACAACTCGACCTCTATATCTTTAAGTAACGTCGTCATGAACTCCTTATTAGGGGTTTCATCATTGCAACTACTAGAACCAAACTCCATGGTGTTACCACTATCAATGGGAACTTCAGAAGTTGTAGTATTATTATTCCATGCATTTGTTGCATCAAAAACCAATGGAGCCATGTCATCAAAAGGCATTTCATCCTCTTCGTCATTTGAGACCTCCATCGTGTTCTCATCATTTTCGATATTACCATCTTGTTTATCATTTTCTCCGTAACTCACCCATGGGTTATAACTACTGTCTGTACCATATACTAGTAAGTAACATTGCATAGTTTTCCGATCTTGGGCCATCATTAATCGATAGTTCAAACATGGACATTTTAACAATGTCCTGTCATTTTTTTCTTTGAAAGCAAATTTTAAAAACTCATCAACCCCTTTTCTATACTCTTGTTTTTGCCTATCCTTTATACCATTGTAGTTCATCCAAGTTCGATTGACAAGCGCACTTTAGGGCGCGCTTTAGAGCATATTTTAGGATGATTTTGGATGTATTTGGGGCCGCTTTGGCCGATTATTACCTTGTTATGTTTACGTTCCCCATATTACGTGCTTCACGGGTTTTCGGTTTGTTTTTGATGTGTTTTCAGGTAATATCAACCGAGTTTAATCGGATCCCGAGCCCTTGATGCGTAACCGAGCTAGCCTTGACCGGAGTCCGAGGAGTTAAGGAAGTTCAAGTGTCGTGCATTGATTACATAGCACAGGTAGCACGGCCGTGTTACCATAGGCACACCCGTGCTGGCCTATAAGCAAGCAACCCCAGGCAAGGCAGCACGGCCGTGCAAGCAAATAGCACGGCCGTGTCAGTATCCACGCACCCGCACGGCCGTGCAGGCCATTAGCACGGCCGTGCCAGATGTTGCCCGTGCCCGTGTCAGCTTCAGTATGAGCCCCGTGCTAGAGCATATTCAGCACGGCCGTGTCATTTTTAGCACGGCCGTGCCATATATAGCACGGCCGTGCCAATTTGAAGAAGAAACCCGGTTTACTTACTGACAAGCTAGCACGGCCGTGCTGATCCAGGGTTAACTGCGCGCTTGACTTCTCCGAATTAGAAGACGTATATAAGGCCCGAATTTAAGAGGATTAAAAGAGAGTTTTTAGAGATAGTTTTGAGAGCCTTTGTAGAGAGTTATTGGAGAACGTTCTTAGTATTAGAGATTCTTTAGTTTTCTTAGAGAATTTCCTAGAGATTTTAGTTTTCTTGGATTGATTTGAAGCAAGATTTGCGAAGGTTATTTGTATTATTCATTGACGACGGATATCAAAGTTCTGAACTTTTCCATTGATTCGCATCAATACAATTGGTATTATTCATTCTTGTTTATTAATCAAGCTTTATTATTCCTTAATCAGAATTCATGTTTATATCTATTATGCTTTTGGAATTCATTATTGCTTTGATTATGAATATGTGTGAGTAGTCTCCTAGCTAGGGTTTCGGGATGAAACCCGGCCTAGGTAATCTATGTAATTGAGGATTGATTTTGATAAACGGATTGTGATTAAATTGATTATATGCGATTGCATGTTAATTCATTATAATAGGAGTAGCTAACCTAGAATCTTGAATTTGATTGCATGATATTCTTGATTTGAACAAGAGATTGTGAATTGAGTATTTCATTATTTAATGTGGTTTGATTATGTATCGAGTAATGTAAAGTGCATGAGAAATCCAAGCTTAGTATTGCCCGTTGTCTTCCTATCACATGATATTGATCAGACTTATAGTCTTTGCATATCCCGTTTGTCTCTGTGATTCCTTGTTGCTTAGTTACCAATGGTTAGGCGGATTCCCGTTCTCCCTAGTGTCTTAGTTTATTGATTTATTCCATCTTATTAGTAGTATTTTAGAACACCATTTTCCATTGATTTCGAACTAGATTAGGTTTAAGATTGATTTGCAATTACTCTCGTTCCTCGTGGACCGAACCTTTATTTGCCATTGTACTTGGTTATAGGGTGTTCGTATAAGTATTGTTTGATTGAGAGTTAGATTGTAGCGACCGATTTAACCCTTGTCAAAATGGCGCCGTTGCCGAGGAGCGGTGTTTGTTAATTGCTTTTTGATTTCTTGAGTCTAGTTCATCATAAAAAAAAAAGCACAAAAAGATTTTTCCCTTTTGGCTACACTTGTAGCCCTGCTATTTAATTGGTTTGGTTAGTGTGTATGCGCAGGTCTAAACAGAGAGAATTAATACCCTTCGATCCAGAAATCGAAAGAACTTTGAAGAGCAATCGTAAATCTCGATTGACGTCATCAAACTCTCAAGGAAAGGAACACAACACACAACAGGTTCCAATGGAAGACATACCGCGCCAACCTAATCGGCCAGCACCACGACCCCTTAACGAGTTGGGAACTCCTGGAGCGTATATAGCTTCAAGTGGGATTTCTCCACCCACTAATGAGGCCAATGATTTCGAGATCCGGCCAGCTATGATCACCCTCATCGAGAGAAGGCAGTTTAGTGGTGCCAAGCATGAGATCCCTTTGGCTCATTTGAACGAATTTGAGAAGTACTGCAATACCATCAAGGTTAATGGGGTGAATCAAGAGTTCGTGAGATTGAAGCTTTTCCCCTTTTCACTTATTGGGAGAGCTCTCGAATGGTTAGAGAAGGAGGTGAAGCCAAACTCTCTACACACTTGGGATGATGTCACGACAGCATTTTTGGGAAGATTCTATTCTCAAAAGAAGACGGTCGATGCTAGAGCCTTGATTCAAGGGTTTCGGAAAAGGAGTGGGGAGTCGATCTATGAAGCATGGGAAAGGTACAAGGAGTACCAAAGAGAGTGCCCACACCACGGAATCCCAACATATCAAGTTTTACAGATTTTCTATGGAGGATTTAGTCCTCAAGGGAAGACCAGTTTGGATGCGGGAGCAGGTGGCCCCATTATGAACAAAACCGAAGAGCAAGTCATAGATATTATCGAAGATGTGGTACGACACCACATGGATTGGCAAGACGGCGAGCGAGATGCTGTGAACAAGAGTGGAGGAGCGGTCTATTCAGTGGACCACCTCAATGCCATTAGCAACCTGACATCACAAATTACGAACCTCGGGAAGGAGATGTTAGTGATTAAAGCCAAGCTCGATTCCGTGCCATTGCAAGATCTTCCCTCCCAATCTAAGGGGAGAGGTATGAATCCTAATCCTTCCGTTTCTAATATGCTTGTAGGATGTATTTTCTGTGAAAACTGTGGGTCTTATGATCATTATACTAATGCTTGTAATTTTGATCCCTCATATGATCCTAATAATAATGATGGTAATAGATATAATAATGAACAGGTCAATGCTATGTCTTATGATAACGGACCTAGGAATGACAATAATAGATATCTGCCACCTAATCAAAGAGGGAACAATTATAATCAGGGAGGCAATGATTTTGATTATCAAAACCAGTGGGGAAATAGGGGCCAAAGGGACCAAAATTCCCAAGGACCCTATAATCAACATGGTGGTTTTGGAAATCAAAACCAATACCAACAGGGTAATTAAATGAATCATAATTCCCAGGGGCAATTCAATCAAGGGGGAAACGGCATTAATAACAGGGAAAACTGGAATAATAATAAGGGGTACTCTAATCAAAATCCCCAACAATCTAATGTGCGTGGTTCCCGAGCTACAAATGATAATTATTATGCTCATGGACCACCACAGAGATCTAGCTTGGAGGAAATGATGGAGTCCCAGGCCAAAATGTTCAACACTTTTATGTCCACCAGTGATAAAAAGTTTAGTGAAGTGATGACACATAATAAGATGCTTGAAACCCAGATTTCTCAGTTGGCTAGTGCTATAAAAGATGGGGTTGGAGTTTCAAAACTACCGCCTCAAGGTATTGACCCTAAAAACTCTGTAAATGCTATCACCACTAGGAGTGGAAAGACATTGAGGGGGAGCGATGAAGTAGTACCCCCTAGGAGTCAACCTGTGACTCCACCTATCACTGATAATGTTGTAGGAAGTGAGGATGAGAGGACCAGAGAAAAAGATAAAATTAATGAGGTCCCAAAGGAACAGGTGGGAGCACAAACCAATGAACCCGACCTATTACATAGACTCCCCTACCCCCAAAAATATGTGAGACATAAGCTAGATGCCCAATTCGGGAAGTTTTTAGAGACCTTGAGAGAAGTCCACCTTTCTATACCATTCACTGATGATATCAAGCAAATGCCTAACTATGCTAGGTTTTTAAAAGATATATTGAGTGGTAGAAGAAACTGTGAAGGGGTAGAAACTGTTAACCTCACTGAACACTGTAGTGCTATAATAATGAACAAAATGCCTCCTAAGTTAGGAGATCCGGGTAGCTTTTCAATCCCTTGTGCTATAAACAAAATGAATATTGATAATGCTTTGTGTGATCTTGGAGCTAGTGTTAGTCTCATGCCATATTCTGTTTATCAACGATTAAATATAGGAGAACTTCTTCCCACTAACATATCCCTTCAATTAGCCGATCGATCGATGAAATTTCCAAAGGGTAAAGTGGAAGATTTTCCCCTAAGGGTGGGGAAGTTTGTCATACCTGTTGACTTTGTGGTCCTAGATATGGATGAGGATGTTCATATACCTATAATTCTAGGACGTCCTTTCCTAGCTACTTCGGGTGCCCTTATTGATGTAAAGGGTGCCAAGATTTCATTGAAAGTAGGAAAGGAGGTTTTAGATTTTGATTTAAATAAAACTATGAAATATCCTTGTTCTAATTCTAATAATTGCATGATGGTTGACACTGTTAATTCCATTGTCTCTGATATGCGTAAAGAATTATTCTATACTAATCATGATTTTGAGTTGAATGAGAACAAGGAAAACAGGGACATGGAGGAGCAATTTCTAGATGCATTAGATGTGGCCATTGCAAAGGAGGCTAATGAAGCACCAAAGGTAAAGCTTAAACCCCTTCCAACACATCAAGGAAGGGTTTCCCCTGTGTTTGTAGTACCTAAGAAAGGGGCGGTGACTATTGTCAAGAATAAGAATGGTGAGCTTATCTCCACTGCACTGGCAAGTATTGATTATGGGTAACCTGTAATCCATGTGTTGCGTCAAGCTATGACGTTAAAGAAGCGCTTCCGGGAGGCAACCCGAGACCCAGTCAATGAGGTACTTTTCTCTTCCCCTTTTTGCCTTCTAGGTAGTCTCTCGATGCCTGACATTGAGGACAATGTCTATACTAGCTTGGGGGGTGAATGGTTTCCTTGTTGATTTTCCCTTGTTTTTCTTCATATTCCTATAAAAAAAAACGAGTTTCTTTTTGTTTCGTTTTGGTTTGTTCCTATCTAACCTGTGCAGATATGAAGACTCATGGAGGTAGCATTAGGAGCTTCGCCGCATCTCATGTTGTCTTAGTGTGTTTTCAAGAAGCATCTGGTGAAATCTTTCCCTTTTTCCTTTAGTTTTTTTTTGTTTTTGTGTGCTTAGGATAGTTTAGTTTAGGAAGAAGTTGAATGGTTCGAGGATGTTTGATCGGTTCTAAAGAACCTGGGATCATTGATGTTGATATCAATTGATCACTTGTTTGTCGATTGGGATTATTATGTGATTTTCATGCTTCTTTATGAGCCATTTAGCTTGTTTAGATTACTTAGTTGTTTATATATGTGTGCAATATAGGAAAAGCTTCTGTTATGAGAATGTGTAGTCCAGTTTATATGATTTGCCTCATAGTCTTTTCCTATATTTTTGGATCGTGATAAACTTGTCTAATTGCATAAACCTTTGGAATAATGCTCATATTTGGATTCGAAACGTGAATGAATGTGTGTGGAATATCTATTTCTACTTAAGCCAGTGATGAATACACAGTTTGAGTCTATTGTTGATCAATGTAGACGAGTCTAGGCGAAGGTAGTTGGTTAGAACACTTTTGTCATGTAAAACTCTATGCCTTTGGGCTGTGGTAAGATGGAGTCGCTTCCCATTTGTGGATTTGATCCCCTTAATTGGTAATTGCTTTGTTTTTGAATCCCGTGAGGTTTTATTGTTCTAGCCTTCATCATTCTTCTTGAGTGACATATTTGGATCCTTGATTACGCATGTTTCGATCTTTGTGTTGACTTGTAGCTCCCAAGACCGACTTGAAACTTTTAAGGGAGGAAGAGGGCACCTTTTTCATTTTTCTTATTCTTGTTCCTTTTGTTTTGTTACAAATTAATTTTCTGTGTACATCATCTTACTTGCTAACCATGTTGAGGCTTTAATTCCATTCTTGGTTACCCATGTTACAAACCCGATGGCCAATGTTTTACCAACCCTTAGTTGTGAAGCGTTTACCTCGCAAGGTTTGTTTGAGCTTATTGTGTATAAATAAAAAATAATGATCGATAGTTGGTTTGAGCAAGTTCGAAAGTGAGCTTAATTGTAAAGATGTAATATGAAAATTTGTTTTTGAAAAAAAAGAAGAAAAAAAAAAGAAAAGAAAATCAAAATAAAAAAAAAGGAGAAAAGCCGTCCGAATTGTGAAAAAGGCAAGGACGCATAAATAAAGTCGTCATGAACTCCTTATTAGGGGTTTCATCATTGCAACTACTAGAACCAAACTCCATGGTGTTACCACTATCAATGGGAACTTCAGAAGTTGTAGTATTATTATTCCATGCATTTGTTGCATCAAAAACCAATGGAGCCATGTCATCAAAAGGCATTTCATCCTCTTCGTCATTTGAGACCTCCATCGTGTTCTCATCATTTTCGATATTACCATCTTGTTTATCATTTTCTCCGTAACTCACCCATGGGTTATAACTACTGTCTGTACCATATACTAGTAAGTAACATTGCATAGTTTTCCGATCTTGGGCCATCATTAATCGATAGTTCAAACATGGACATTTTAACAATGTCCTGTCATTTTTTTCTTTGAAAGCAAATTTTAAAAACTCATCAACCCCTTTTCTATACTCTTGTTTTTGCCTATCCTTTATACCATTGTAGTTCATCCAAGTTCGATTGACAAGCGCACTTTAGGGCGCGCTTTAGAGCATATTTTAGGATGATTTTGGATGTATTTGGGGCCGCTTTGGCCGATTATTACCTTGTTATGTTTACGTTCCCCATATTACGTGCTTCACGGGTTTTCGGTTTGTTTTTGATGTGTTTTCAGGTAATATCAACCGAGTTTAATCGGATCCCGAGCCCTTGATGCGTAACCGAGCTAGCCTTGACCGGAGTCCGAGGAGTTAAGGAAGTTCAAGTGCCGTGCATTGATTACATAGCACAGACAGCACGGCCGTGTTACCATAGGCACACCCGTGCTGGCCTATAAGCAAGCAACCCCAGGCAAGGCAGCACGGCCGTGCAAGCCAATAGCACGGCCGTGTCAGTATCCACGCACCCGCACGGCCGTGCCAGATGTTGCCCGTGCCCGTGTCAGCTTCAGTATGAGCCCCGTGCTAGAGCATATTCAGCACGGCCTTGTCATTTTTAGCACGGCCGTGCCAGGAAGCTGCACGGCCGTGCTATATATGGCACGGCCGTGCCAATTTGAAGAAGAAACCCGGTTTACTTACTGACAAGCTAGCACGGCCGTGCCAAATACAGCACGGCCGTGCTGATCCAGGGTTAACTGCGCGCTTGACTTCTCCGAATTAGAAGACGTATATAAGGCCCGACTTTAAGAGGATTAAAAGAGAGTTTTTAGAGATAGTTTTGAGAGCCTTTGTAGAGAGTTATTGGAGAACGTTCTTAGTATTAGAGATTCTTTAGTTTTCTTAGAGAATTTCCTAGAGATTTTAGTTTTCTTGGATTGATTTGAAGCAAGATTTGCGAAGGTTCTTTGTATTATTCATTGACGACGGATATCAAAGTTCTGAACTTTTCCATTGATTCGCATCAATACAATTGGTATTATTCATTCTTGTTTATTAATCAAGCTTTATTATTCCTTAATCAGAATTCATGTTTATATCTATTATGCTTTTGGAATTCATTATTGCTTTGATTATGAATATGTGTGAGTAGTCTCCTAGCTAGGGTTTCGGGATGAAACCCGGCCTAGGTAATCTATGTAATTGAGGATTGATTTTGATAAACGGATTGTGATTAAATTGATTATATGCGATTGCATGTTAATTCATTATAATAGGAGTAGCTAACCTAGAATCTTGAATTTGATTGCATGATATTCTTGATTTGAACAAGAGATTGTGAATTGAGTATTTCATTATTTAATGTGGTTTGATTATGTATCGAGTAATGTAAAGTGCATGAGAAATCCAAGCTTAGTATTGCCCGTTGTCTTCCTATCACATGATATTAATCAGACTTATAGTCTTTGCATATCCCGTTTGTCTCTGTGATTCCTTGTTGCTTAGTTACCAATGGTTAGGCGGATTCCCGTTCTCCCTAGTGTCTTAGTTTATTGATTTATTCCATCTTATTAGTAGTATTTTAGAACACCATTTTCCATTGATTTCGAACTAGCTTAGGTTTAAGATTGATTTGCAATTACTCTCGTTCCTCGTGGACCGAACCTTTATTTGCCATTGTACTTGGTTATAGGGTGTTCGTATAAGTATTGTTTGATTGAGAGTTAGATTGTAGCGACCGATTTAACCCTTGCCAAAATGCTAGCACGGCCGTGCGGGTGCGTGGATACTGACACGGCCGTGATATTGGCTTGCACGGCCGTGCTGCCTTGCCTGGGGTTGCTTGCTTATAGGCCAGCACGGGTGTGCCTATGGTAACACGGCCGTGCTGCCTGTGCTATGTAATCAATGCACGGCACTTGAACTTCCTTAACTCCTCGGACTCCGGTCAAGGCTAGCTCGGTTACGCATCAAGGGCTCGGGATCCGATTAAACTCGGTTGATATTACCTGAAAACACATCAAAAACAAACCGAAAACCCGTGAAACACGTAATATGGGGAACGTAAACATAACAAGGTAATAATCGGCCAAAGCGGCCCCAAATACATCCAAAATCATCCTAAAATATGCTCTAAAGCGCGCCCTAAAGTGCGCTTGTCATCGATCTCTATTCATTCTTGAAATGAAAATAAAAGAAAACCATTAACAAATTGAATGTAAGAAAATTAAATGGTTAAGTACACATCTAATCAATTATATGATTATGTCACATAAGTTTTATAGATCACCATAGTCCGATCCCCTAACTGGATTATTACCAATGTTTATCCAAAGAATCAAATTAAAATTAACGAAAGCTTTTTAAAACAGAAATAATGAACAGCCTAAAAGGACATTTGTCGGGCACTATATATCCAAACTATACTTTTGATAACCATTAAAAAGAGGCTAAAAATCAACAGAAACAATTAGGACCTAATCAAAGGACACAATCCAACCGTTTGTCCCTTATAACCGATGTTAACCGATATACAAAACTAGGGCTGGCTAAGGGCCTGTGCAACCAGACCCTTAGCACAGGGCCTTAACAATTTGAGGGCCCAATTTGATTGGGAGCCCATACATGTATTAAAAAAAACATTAGTTCAGCCATCTTCTGTGTCCCGAGTCCCGACTCCCAAATATTCTGTTTGAATTTCCTCCAATTTAATCTACTCCATAATTGCCGCAATTAATTTGCAATTCCTATGGAAAACTTTTCATCTTCCCATGTTAATTTAAAGCTTGTCTTTGATTTTTATGTTTTACCAAAGATATACGAGTAATTTTTTTCAAAAAATCAATTTAACATTTCAACTACACCTTCTTCTCTTGATTTTAAAGGTGATTAGTGGTATTTTCATCATGATTTGCTTCTAATAGAAAAATTAGTTTCATCTTGCATCTTGGTTTACTTAGTTAAAATGAGAATTTGTCAAATAAGGAGAGTCGGTTGATTGTGAGGTAATAATTTTTATTTATTATTATTATTATTATTTTAATATGAAAGAATTTCTTATATTTGAGACTTGCTAAGTGTTTATTGTAGTTGTGTTTTCTTAAGATTGAAACAAGAAGTAAGAAAATTTGGTACTTCATACGTAGTATTTTCGATTTGCAACAATATATTTTTGTGTTTTTATATGCACAAAAAACAAGTGCTTTTGATTTTTTTTTGGTGCACATAATGTACACTGTACTTGTAAATCGGAATAAGATAATGCAGAGTTGAAAAAAATTTCTCATACTAGTAATTAAAATTTCATTTTTTAAAAAATAGGGCCCAACTTTTAGAATTAGAACAGGGCCTCTAATATGTTTAAGACGGCCCTGCACAATACCACCCACATTACACGAACGAGAGTGCATTTCAAACAGAGCATTAAAATCAAGTCTCCTCTACTTTTTTCTACCAAAGGAGAACACAAAAACTGAACTTACAAACTCACTGTCAGGCAAACCAAGGTTATCCTTTTAATATGTAATCCTAACAACTTTAAACTCATTCGACACCGCATCAAACCCACTATGGTTTTAATTTCTAGAAACATATGATTATCATAATATAAGCTATATAATTTTCCATTCTACAATCTTGACAATATTTCCTGAACAACACAACATAATTTCCAGATTCCATATTATGTTGCAATTGTGAAAGTATGAATATGAATTTTCCAATTTGAGAATACCAAAATTTTATACCTTTGATTTTAAATTAAAAAGGGGGATAAAAATCAACAAAAACAGTTAAATCCAAGGAAAGTCACCGAATTATGGTTTTCAAATCAATGAAAATTTTGTATACAATACATCATGATTAATCTACAAAATCAATAATACAAGGATAATTCACAGAAATTAAAAAATTAAAACCATAATTCAAGAGATAACAAATAATTAGTAGTAGTAAAATAGATAACTACATAAAAGAGAGAGGATAGGTAACCGACCTACTACCTCACCACCGTCAATGCGTCGACCTTAAATTTGCTGTCACCGCTGCCTCACGGCCGTCAATTGCTTTGAATCCGAACCGCCGGTCACCGCTACCTCACATACATATTACCTCACATACATATTAAATAAGTTAGGGTTTATGGCTGAATTAACGAATGAAATAGCTAAAGAAATACTGAATTTTACAAAGCAATGCAAAAATAATGGAAGAACAACCTCTTCAATGGCGGCTTTTGGTTTGGTCAGAGCAAAGAGAAGAGAAGTTGGGGGTTTTTTTAACGGATGAGAAGGGAAAATTGTTTGATCGTGGGTAAATGGTTAGTTCTTTAAGCAGTACTAATTTTTTTTTTTTTTTTTTTTTTTTTTTTTTTTTTTTGGGGAAGTAATACTGAAATTTTTGCATCACTAGTCTTATGAATTTTTTTTGGGGAATTTCAATGAAAGCGGTGTTTTTTCCGCCAAATGTTTAGTGGGATTTGGGCAACCAAATAAAATACCACTCAGCTTTTTTTAATAAAAATAGACAACGAATTAAGTTATTTGTCGCCCAACTATGGAAATAGGCAACCAAGTTATATTTCGTGGCCCAAAAAAATAATAAAGGGCAACACATAAACTGTTTTGTTGCCCATATATCTCTATAGGGCAACAAAGAAATAACTTGTTGCCCATAATTTTATTTTGGGCGACACATTAAATCTCGTCGCACAAAATATCAACAATGTGCAACGAAAGGAAGTTTCATTGCCCTTACTAAACGCACCCGTCGCCCAAAAAGCTTTTTCTTGTAGTGTCATGTTTAGGGAAAAGGTTATAATATCAAATATGTTTATTATGATTTTTGTGATGCTTCCTCTTTTATTTCTTAATATTCATGTTAGTATCCTGTTAAGTTTAAAGCTTTGATCTTTGATGTTTATTGACATTAGGGGTTTGTTATTAATCTTGTTAGAATCATGCCTAGGATCTTGCTATTATTATTATAATTATGATTGT